CCTGATCATCCTTGTAGTCCTGCGCTGGACTCTGTGCAGCAGCTCCACATCCCTCTTGTCCTGTGGGGCCCAGAACTGGACACAATACTCCAGATGCGGCCTCACCAGGGCTGAGTAGAGGGGCAGGATCACCTCCCTCGACCTGCTAGAGATGCTCTTCTTAATGCAGCCCAGGATTCCATTGGCCTTCTTGGCCACGAGGGCACACTGCTGCCTCATGGTCAACTTATCATCCACCATGACACCCAGGTCTTTCTCTGCAGAGCTGCTCTCCACAAGGTCGGTCCCCAGCCTGTACTGCTGTCTGGAAACCTAGAGTCCTAAGCCTCTGCCCCTGCTCAGCTGCCCAGAGCACAAGCTGAAGGGGAAGGAGAGCCATGAACATGCATCAGCCTCCTGCAAAGCCAAGACCTTCTCTAGGAGCAGGACAGCTCAACCCTGTGTGTACCAACCTCTACACCTCCACCCAATAAGTCCCTATTTCACAGCAGCCTGTCCTCAGACGTAGCTGTGATCCCACCCCCCAAGCCCTGGGGACAGAGCCCCAACTCCCTCCTTACTCTTGGTTGTGGGACCAGGGGACAAGAGGCCCCCCTCCTGCCACCCAAGGAGCAGAGCATCCTCCAAAGACAGTCTGAGGCTCCAAGTTATCTGCAAAGACTTTTATTTGACTCCAAAGGATTAAAACATGTGGTTGAAGCCCTCAGCACAGGAGCACCCCTGGCTGTGCCACCATCCATGCACATGAGTTTCAGTAAATAACTTCCCAAAGCAACAGGACACAAGTGCTGCCCCCAAGCACTTGGGACACTTGGTCCCAGGGAGTTGAGCCTCGTGACTCACACATGGGGGAGGAAGAGCAGGCCCAGGCTCTCAGGGATGCAGAGCTCATCCAGGTGCACAGAGGAGGCGGAGAACGGCAGGTGCACAGGGAAGAGGTGACACACGTCCATGAAGAGCTGGCTGGGCGCCGCAGGGTTCTGCTCCTGCAGGCGTTTCTGCAGGGAGGCAGCGCTGCTGTATGGCCCCCTACCCCGGGGCACGGCCTGCAGGCGCCAGGGCAGGCGGCATTGCACTCACCTCGACGCTGCTGATGAAGCTGGGGCTCACCCGCTCCTCCAGCCCGGCGGCAGGCGTGTAAGCCCGTAGGATCCTCACGACCTGCAGGGATGGAGGGGACCATGAGCCCCATGAGTCAGGCCCAGGGCCACCTTCAGGACTCAAGGAGCCCAGGGCTGCAGAGCAGGGCCAGGCAGATATAGGAGCCTGCAGGTACCTGCTGTGGGGACAGCACAGTGCAGAGGCTACAGATAGCCCCAGCATCCTCCTCGGTAGCCTTCTTCACCTGCAGCAGCTGGGCAGCCTGCACAAGCGGCTCGAGCTCCTCACGGGCTCCGCTCTGGTGCAGCCCCTCTGCCCGCAGCCACTGCTCCAGCTGGCTGATGTTGTACCTGCCAAGGAGAACGTGCCATGGGGACATGGGCACCACGCCAGGTCCCCATGCACCATCCCTGCGTCCCTCTCCCCAGCCAGCCGACCCACCGCAGCTGGATGCCACGGTTCCAGGAGCAGGCGTCCTTGCGCAGCAGCAGGTAGTTGAGGGTGGTGCCGCTGATGAAGAAGAGGAGCTGGCGCAGGGCCTGCTGACCCAGTGCAGCAGGCAGCGCATGGCGGCGCAGCGCTGCGCGCACCGAGCCCAGCTGCTGCAGCAGCTCCGGCAGCGCGGGGCCCCGGCCAGCGGGAGCCCAGCGGGCGAGCAGAGGACAAGCCCTGGATGGTCTCGCTTTCCAGCATCGCGGCAACTGGAAGGACAGAGAAAGCTCAGGGTGGCTTTGCTGGGGGACCCGGCTTGGCCAGGGTGCAGAGGAGATGCTGGGTGGCAATTGGTGCATCCAGCGCCTCAGCTCTGGGGGACTAGTGGCAACAAAGGGGCTTCAGCCCTTGGGCACAAGCGGTCCTGATGGAAGGTAGTGGAGCTGGGCATGACAAGGCTGAGCATCCCAAAGGATCCTTCTTCCAAGCCATCCTGTGGGTGTTTGCCATGGAAGGACCATGTCAGCCCATGGCATCTTGCATGGTTCACACCAGAGCCATCCTTGTCCCCTCTGGTATATGCTGGAAGGGGCAGTCAGTGCCAGCTCGCACCCCACAGAGCACCTCACACCCCCAGACCCGGCCATACCGATCACGGGCTTCAGGCCCTTCTGGGCTGCCTCAATGAGCTGCTGGTAGAGCTGGATGGCCAGGGCACTCAGGCTGCAGCAGGCACCCTGTGGGTCCACGTGGCGCAGCCGCTGCTCGTTCTGCCGCGCTGTGTTCGCCTGCCAGTAGCTCTGCAGGGCACAGGACAGATCAGGGGAAGCCACTGGGTGCCCATCCAGGACCACCAGAAGCTACAGGGTCCAAGCAAGGAGCAGGGTCAGCCCAACACACGCCCAGACTGTAGGTTCAGAGCATGGAACCCTAAAGCCCAGGCCCAACTGGTCGCCCCATCCCTGTTCAGCTCCCATCACAACGTACCTCGTCCCTGCCATACTGGCGCAGGCAGTTCAGGAGCCGGTAGGTGTTGGCAAGCCACAGGGCCATCACATCAACATCATCACCCTGCTTCTGCAAGAGGGGACAGCAAGGGGCAGGGTAAATCCCAGCATAGGGTCAGTGGGACTCTGCTAGCAGGAGCAGCAGGTCACACAGCAGCTCTGTGAGCTATTACAGTCTGGTATGGGCTTGCACTGGTCCCCTAAACGCAGGGAGCCACATCCTCCCTGTCCCACAACAGGACACCTCAGCTGGGGACCAGCAATGTCCAGTTAGGCCTCCTAGCAAGAGCCAGCAGCACCCAAGGAGACCCTGGCAGCACCCAAGGGTGCCCTCCTACCCCAGGAGGGAGCCAGCGACAAGCCCACCCTCTGCCCAGCACCTTCATGACTCTCTTGATGGCACCGATGGCAGCATCCAGCAACACGCGGGCCCTCGGCTCATCACAGCAGTGGTCCGCATGCCGGTAGCACATGAAGAGGACGTAGGCTGGCAGGTCCGGAAGCACCCCGGGGCTGCTCTGCGCTCTGTAGTCTGAAGAGAAGAGACCCATTAGTATCCAAGGAGCTATGGAAGACTGAGGTGTGGATAGGGGATCTGCCCCCCTTCCAAATCTTACCTGTAATGACAGCCTTGGTGATGCGCCCTTCATCCCCTGCTCTCCATGCCAGCATGGCCCGGGGCTGCCCAGCTGTGGATGAGACCTTTGCAGGACCTGCTGGTTCCTGTGCTGGCCAGGAGGCCTCTCTCCTTGCTGAGGAGAGGAGCACAAGTCAAGTCTTGCCATGGGACCACGACTGGATCCTGTCCCAGAGAGGGAATTGGGAGCTATTAGCTACCACTGGCTCCAACTGTCCCCTCTGAGGGACTTCAGGGTGGCTAGCCATCCACTCCAAGGCTCAACTCCTCTAGCCATGGTGGAAAAGGGGAAGGATCCCCAGCCCTGTGCCTTTCATGCCACAAGTACATGAGAGCAAAGGCCACCACCTGGGTGCTCCCCTTAAGGGACACAGGGTGACATGAGCCCCAGCAAAGCAGCAAGAAGGCCCCATCCTCCCAGCCCCAAGCAGAGCTCTCAGCACCCAGCTCTGCAAGGGGCAGCTCCCCGGCTGCCGCCCAAGCAGCTACTTGCCCACAAGGTCCTGGATCTGCCTCGCGTAGACTCGCAGCTGCTTCTGGAGCTTCAGCGTGGTCCTCTCCTCCTTCTCCAGCTTCTGGGCCAGCTCCTGGGCAAGGACAAGGCATGAGGCTCAGGCAGCCTCCCCCAACGCCCTCCCGATGGGACGCAGCATGCGGGGCCTGGTGGGGGAAGCCGCCCCCTGCCCTCTCCCAGCATCCCGCTTCGCCCTCCTTACGCAGTTCTCCTCCTTCAGGCGCACAACGTGGTGCTGCAGCCCCTCCTGGCCCTGGTGCCGCTGCAGGTCCTGGATCAGAGCTGCCTGCTGCTGGCTCAGCTGCTTGAGGGAGCTGATGTCCAGGTGCAGCCCTTCCACCTCCTCCTCGTGCTGCTGCTTCTTCTCCTGCAGCTGGCTCGCCAGCAGCCTGCAGACCACAGGCCAGGCCTCAGTTTCCCTACCTGGCCCATGCACCAGGCTGAGCCATCACCCACTGCCCAAGCACCACAGCAGCTGATGAAGAGGCCTTGGAGAAGAAGCTCAGCCAGCCCTGAGGTAGCATTTGTCCCTCAGTGCCTCTGAGCTGGCGGCTCTTCCCTGCTTGTGCACTGTGGGGTGGCAATACAGTCTTAGTTGACCCCTGGAGGATCTCCCTCCCTGCTCTTGTCTTCCTACATCAAGCCTAGAGCACAAGGTTCATGCAGGTTTTTGGGCCAGCCTGGCTGGAATGTGTCCTCACAGCATGGTGACCATGGTGGGCTAGTGGTGGCCAGCTCCTCCAGACACAGGAGGAGCCACCTGGGGGGTGGTGGCTCAGCAGGGCATCCTGAGGTGGCATATTCCCACCTTCAGGGCCAGAGCATCTTCACCCTGTGCCCAGGAATGGGGCTGCAGACTTGAGGAGGGTAGGAGTCCCTCACCCAACAGCTAGCAAACACATGGGAATGCACAGGAACACACGGTTCCTGCCCACCCTGGAGAGCCCATCCGTGCCCCCCGGCCTCCCACCTGCACCAGCTCAGGGACCAGATGCTGGATACAACCCAGCTTGGCTAGAGGGTCTCCATGGAGGTGCCCCACCAGCACTCACCTATTGGCAACCTGCACCGCATCGTACGCGTGCTTCAAGTCATCGCCTGGAGCTGCCTTCTCGGGGCTCCTGGCCGTCCCCAGCATCTCAGCAATGTTCTGGTTCTGTGAGAGGAGGACAAGTGAGACAAGCTGCTGCTGTGGCCAGCCCTGCGCACAGCGGGGACGGCAGCTCACCCTGCGCTTGAGGAAATCCAGCGGTTTCTTCTCCTCGGGCTCTGCGTGTGCCCGGGCCCTGTGCAGCTCCTCGCGGGTCCGGGCCAGCTCCTCGCTGACGGCGTTGAGCTGCGCCAGGAGCAGCAGATAGGCCTTCTTGAAGGGGTGCTGGCCCGCGCCACCATCAGGCGCCACTTCATTGCCTGGCTGGGATGGCTGGCCCTCCTGCCCTGGCTGCCAGCGCTCCTCGGGCCCCTGGCCACAGGGAAGGGGACAGTTTGGCCAGGAGCCCCCAGCACATGCTGGGGCACCAAGGGACGTCTTTCCCCCATAGGACATGGTAGAGAAGGGACCGGCCGCTTCCGTCTCCCATTGCCACTAGTGTCACAGCTTGCCTCAGCCTGAAGGTCGGAGTCATCCCGAGATGGAACTGTGGACACTGAGGACACGTAGCTGCTCTCAGAGCCCAGGAAGCTCTCAGATGAAGGGGAGCGTCTGAAGGTGCTTTGCTGTATGGGGAGAGAAGCACGAGGCTGTTTCACCCCATCCCAGAGCCCTGCTCAGCTCCCACAGGCAGGATAGGACCCCCCCCACCCTGTGGGGCAACAGCTGGAGGGAAGATGGTTTTGGGCAGCCCCAGGTTGGCTCCACCGGCACACGTAGCCCTCACCTTGTGGAAGGCGACCTCATCGCGCAGGTTGTCGTAGCTCTGCTCCAGGCGGGCGTACTCCTTCACGAGGCTCTGGTAGCGAGCACGCTCCTCCTCGAGCTCCTGCAGCAGCCCACGGCTCTCCCTGGCCGCGCGCTGGTGCTGCTCTGAGGGACGGGCACGCACAGGAGACGCTTGGGGCTTGCTCTGCCCCAGGGATGTCCCGTGGGCGGGAGAGGGGATGGGTGGCTCTGGGCACCCACCAAGGGGCTTCAGGGACATGGATGAGCCTGGAGGACCAGCCCGTCCCCCCCCGGCCCGGCTCTTCCCCATGGGCACAGGAGACCTTTTACCTTCGAGATCCTGCGACTGCTCCAACGTGCGCTGGATCAGGGCATCCCTCTCCTCGCCCAGGTGCAGTTTCACAGCCTCCACCTCCACTAAGCGCTGCATGAAGAACCAAGGGGCAGATGGAGCCAGAGCCCCATACGGGGCCAACCCTGGCTGCCACCCTTGCTCCTCAGCCCAGGCTTCCAGGGACATTCTGGAGCAGCCCAGAGCACTACAGCCTTGCAGATCCTGGATGGGCACGTCCAGGATCCAGGCTTCATCCAGGGCTAAGAACCAAGCTTGGAAGGCCAGGGCTGCCCCAAGGGACAAGGTGGCACCCGGGACCTTCTCCCAAGGCATCGGACCTGTCTGAGCTCCTGCACCTCACGGGCCAGGCTGCTCTCGGCGCTGTGCTGCTCCAGCTGGGCCAGCCGCTCCTGCAGGTGCTGGACACGCGTGTCGCAAACTGCCTCCTCGTGCAGCCGCCGCATCTCGGCCCGCAGCCCCTGCACCTCCTCGGCATGTGCGGCCGTGAGCGCCAAGAGCTGCTCCGACAGCCGCTGCTTCTCCTGTGCCTGCAGGCAGAGCACAGCAGGGCCGGGTCAGGACACCAGTGCCCCCACTCAGACCTTTTGCAGCAAACGCAGGAGTCTGGGTACTTCATTCCCCACCCATCTGAGCTGTCAGGACCCCCGAGTGTTGTCACCCAGTGTGGGGCTCCCCTCCATGATGCACCAGCCCAGGAGAGGCCACACACAAGATCAGCTCTAGCTTTACAGCCCCTTCCTCACCACCTGGACCACCAGCTTTCCCAACACCCAGAGCCAGCATTAGACCCCTCTGCTGCCACCCCTAGAGACAGGGCAGCAAGAGCCGCTGGTGCAGGTGGAGATGGCAGAGGCTGCCAGCAGGAGAACGCAGCGTGCCAGGACAGAGCCATTCCCGGCTGCACAGCACCTTGCTGTAAGGGTGCACCCAACGGAGCACCCAGAAGGGAATGCAGCCTAGGGATGCACAAAGCCGTAGGGAAGCACTAAACACCCAGGAATGAGCTAGACAGGTGACTTTTGCCTGGTGACACATGCCTGCAGGGCCAGCTCCCACCCCATGGCCAGGAGGGGACCCAAGACATGGAATGCTCAGATTCCAGTTGCTACCTTGCAACTAGGAATTGTGGATGCAGAGGTGGAGGTGAGCTGAAGCAGCACCCTGGGACTGCTGCACCACCTGTGACACCCACCTGCTCATCCAGCCTGCACTGCAGCTGCATCACCTTGATCTCCATGCCCTTGTGCAGCTGCTTGTAGTGCTCAACGGAGCGCGCCTCGGCCCGCAGCCGCCGCAGCTCCCGGCGTGCACGCGCCCGGCGGTAGCAGCACTGCAGGTAGATGGTGGCCGCGCGCAGGCGAGCGTAGCGGCCGCGGGCCAGCCAGCCACGCACGGCCGCCTGGAGCACCACGGCCTTGCGGTGCCGCAGCAGCTGTGGAGGGAGACACGGGGTGGGAGCACTGCCAGGCAAGGGGACACTAGGGGAAGCCAGGGCAGTGCAGCTGGGGATGCTCAGGGTTGGTCTGTGCCAGCACCTGGAGGTGGAGGGGAGTCCATCCCCACTGCATTGCACTTCCCGCAGGCAAGGCGCAGCCTGGCAGGCAAGCACAGCTTGTCACAGGAAGGTGACAGCATTGCAGATAGGGACCAGGGTGACAGAAAGGAGCTCCCAGCTCACCCCAGCACAGCAGGGTGAGGAACCCTACGTCCCAGCTCTGCCTTGCAGTGGAGAAGGAGCACATCAGGGCTGTGCCATGGCCACCCTCAAGGCTGCAGCTTGCCCCTAACGCAGCCAAGTCCCCTCCTTCCCACTGCGCCACTGGGCTCCTACCTGCTGGTACAGGCATCGGGCAAACATGCCGCGAGCAAAAGCCTGGATGGTGAGGGCAGCCTGGCGTAGGCGCAGATAGGAGCGCCGGGCCAGGGCCATGCGGACGCTCCTCTGCAGCACCACGGCGGCCCGCGTCCTGCGCAGCCGCTGCGCGAGCCTGCGGGAGGGCACAAAGCGGGGAACATCCAGGGCCCGTGCCAGGCGCCGCCGCGCCAGCCAGCCGCGCAGGTGCCGCTGCAGCAGGACGCAGGCCTCGCGCAGCCGCCGCCAGCGCAGCCCCTCCAGGTAGGCCACCTGGCCTGCCCGCAGAAACACCTTGCTCTTGCCGCACCGGTACTTGCTGGGGTCCTGCGTGCAAGCAGGGAGAGGGGACCAGGGTAAGGGACAGTGCAGCCAGTGCCCCCCACGCCACGGGGCGCTGGGACTCGGCCTTCTGGCTCGGCCTCCCTGGGGCTGCAGCATCCCTGTTTCCCAGCGCACCCATTCCTGGCAGTGCTGGACCAGCCCAGGAACCCAGAGGGGATGGGAGAGCATCTAGCAGGGATGCTCAGGTACCAGCACCCACAGGGAGGGCTCTCACCTGGAGCAGCCTCTGCAGGGCCTGGTTGCAGATCTGCCTGGCATCGGTGCCCAGCAGCTCCTCCCTGCTCACCAGCACCCGGTAGCGTTCAAAGAACTCCTGGTACGTCCACCTGCAGAGAAGGAGCAGGTCTGTGGGCACCGCAGCCAGCAGGAGCCCTGAGGGCTGCCGGGGCAAGGGGTACCTGGAGGGGTAGCCCAAGGCGCTGATCCTGATGGTCTCCAGCACCCCGCAGGCTCGGAGCTGCTCCACTGCCCGCCTGGAGTCAAACCTAGGGCAGGGAGGGACACATGAGGACAGGCAGGGACTGCCCAGCACGTGGGGCCCTCCTGGGCTAGGCCAGGCAGGACACAGTGTGGGGGTGACGGTGACAGCCGCCGTGTCCCCAGCCAAGCACTCACACGAAGGGCTGTTTGCTGTCGTTGGGCTTGATGCAGCGGACGTAGTGCGGGGTGGTGCTGCCCAGCGTGCCCATGAGTTTGTGCAGGGACGCTTTGAACTGCGAGGACAACACGAGCGTGGTCAGGCCCTGCAGCTGCATCCTGGCTCCTACAACACTGCAGCCTGCAGCTGCACAGAGCAGGACAGAGCTGCTCTTCCCCCAGGTTGGGGCAGAGGGTCCAGGGCTGGCAGAGCAGCCTGGGGACTCCATAAGTCCCCTCATGGCTACCACATCCCTGGGCATCCATGTCCCTTGTCCCCCTCCCTGCCTTGGGGTCAGGGCTCAGGTCCCCAGGCCATACCTGGCTGGCAACGGACTTCTTGTTCTTGCTGTTCCCAGGCAGTGACCTGCGGCCAGGGCGACTGGCCAGCCTGGCCCCACTGGACCTGCGGGGCTGAAGGGACCCAGCACCGTCCCCATCCTCCAAGAAGAGCTCAGCGAGCAGCGGGGACTGCAGCAGAGCGGAGTCAGAGTGGGCAGAACGCACACAAGCATCTCCCCACCAAGGCCACCCAGGAGCCAGCACCAGGAGATGGAGCCAGCTCCATGCATGGCCCCTGCTACAGGGCACTGCTCCCAGCTGTGCCTGCCAGATGTGCAGGAGCCAGCAGTGCTTCTGCCTCCTGCTCCCCTCCTGCTTGTCCAGTGCAAGCCCTGGACACCCTTCCTGGGTGCACTTGAGACCTCCCCAAGCAGAGCTCTTGGCATTAATCCCACTCCCTGGAATCACAGAGGAATCGGGCAGGGATCTGACCTCGTCCCACAGGGGCTGTTCTGGGCACAGCTCTCACCTTGCTGGCTCGCAGCAGCCCCACCAGCTCCTCGGGGACAGTGTCCCTGTTCTTCTCCACAAACCCATGGCACTGATATTCCACCTAGCAGGGGACAGAACCAGCACCAGCATTAGCCTGGCCAGGGCCCTCAAAGGGCTACCAGCAGGGTCTGTTTCCATAGTCTGGGAGGTGCCTGGACAGATCTTGGGGCAAGATCCACCATATCCATCATGGTTCTTCCTACCTTGCCAGCAAAGTGGCAGACAACGAAGGCATCCGTGGGCCTCTTGGGCTTCTGGAAGTGGGAGCTGCCAAGATGAGTCTGGTAAAGCTTCTGGGCCCAGCTCCCATCACTGCCTTGGGGCATCTGAAAGGGCAGGTGCATCAGAGGGGCACCAGCAGCTCCAGGTGGTCACAGCCTCCTGCTGCCAGGAGGCTTTGCCCACCTTGCACTCCTCATTGAGCAGGTCCAGGATGCCCAGCCGGCCCTCGATGAGCTCAATGCATGGCTGGTTGTCACAGAAGTCAACAAATACCCAAGGGATCTCCTCAGCCACGTACTCTTCCTGCTCCAACTTGAAGACATGCTGGAGAGGAGAAAGAGCAAAAGACTGAGCTGGAAGGGGTGGAAGTGACCAACCTCCAACACCGGCTGCCCTTCTCCTGGGCAAGGGAAGAGCAGGCAGGGGCACTTTTAGCCATGTACTGCCTGGAAAAAGGAGAAGGCATCTCAGCCTGGTCCATGCTCAACTCCAGCAGCCTTCCAGAGTCACATCTGCAGCGAGGGGAACTCAGTGACTTGCTGTGTTCCTAAGGCAGAGAGCCAAAGGCAACAGCAGGGCTGGGATGTGCAGGGTACCCTCAGTAGTTCCCAGCGTTGTGGGGAGCATGGACATCTTTGTGACACCTACCAGGTTGAAGAGCTGCTGCAGCTTCTCGTTGGCATAGTTGATGCAGAACTGCTCAAAGCTGTTGAGCTCAAACATCTCAAACCTGAGAGACGGAGAGGACTGACCTGAGGCAACCACAGGGCACAGCCCCCCCATCCAGCCTACAGCTCCACAAGGGCAAGGAAAGTCCCCTGAAGGTTGGCACAGCCACCCAGGTGACACCAACGGTGACACAGCCCAGCCCAGAGGAGCGCTCCCCGCCCAAGGACAGGCTGCCATGGCCAGGCTCCCCACTGCAGGAGAGCTGGCTGGAGCACAGCTCCTCTTACCCATAGATGTCCAGGATGCCAATGGAGGTGTGGTGGCCCTCTGGGGACCGCAGGGCACGGTTGACCCTACTTGCCATCCACCTGAAGACTTGCTCATACATGTGCTTGGCCAGGGCATCGCGGGAGTCAAGCGCCTGCTGCCTGGACAGGGGTTTCATGTAGGTCTCCCCGGTGGCGACCAGCTTGCGGTAGCAGAGCCAGCGCGACACCTGCGTGGCCTCGACGCCCAGCAGCGCACAGAACAGGCCCAGGGCTGCGTCTGCAGACTGCACACAGACAGGGCCCCGTCACAACAGGGGACACAGATGCAACCCATGCTCAGGTGGGATTCCCGCAGCCAGAGAAGCCCAGGGTATCTGGATCCAGGGTCATGCCCCATGGATGCGGCTGGGCACCCTGCCAGGGCACAGGGACAGCAGCAGGGGGCTGTCACCCACCTCTACAGAGCAGCCATCGCCATGGCGGTCCCTGGCTCTGATGGCGATGTTGCCCAGGTGCAGGATGGCAGCCAGGACACGGAAGAGCTCCAGCTGCTCGGCCTCCAGGACCCCTGTGGACACAGGCATGATGTGACAGCCCCCTCCAGGCCTGGGGCCCTGTGCATTGCACAGCTGGAAGGGAACATCTGGAGCAGCAGGGAGGGGGTGCCCACATCTGTGGGGGGAGGGACAACCAGGCTCTTCCCCAGAGCCCCCAGTGCTGCTGCCAGCAACGGGGTGAGGGTGGTGGGCAAGTGGCTACGGGGACCAGCCCAGCCCACCCGAGAGTGCCCCAGAGTGTAGGGCAGTACCCAGGAGCAAGAAGGCCTGTCGGGTGCTGTCCAGATCAGCGGCATCATCGGTGCCCTCCACACGGGTGCACTGGCCCTGGCGCGTGTAGTGGAAGGACTCGGCTGCACCTGCGGGCGAGACAGCAGCCCCGGCTCCCGCAGCCGCCCCCGGCTCCCACCACCCCGACCCTGCACCAAGCACAGGGGTGCCCGCGTGCAGCAGCAGAGCTGGTCCAGGGTCACCTCCAGCACCCGCTGGCAGCAGGAGGGGCCCCGCACCAGGCCACCCCTCTGGGATGGGAGGCAGGGAAAGGGGGATAAGCACTGTGCTAGGATGCAGCTGTGCAGGGGGGACATGGTGGCACTCACAGAGCCCCAGGCCTTGGAGCTCCGGCAGGGCTGCTGATGCACAGAGCTGGTAGAAGATGTGGTAGTTCCTCTCTGATTTTGCCTATGGGGGAAAAAAAAAATAGGAAAGAGCTTTGAGTGGCCTGGTCACCTGAGGGCATCAATTGCCAAAGAAGAGGGGGACCCTGGCACTGTGCCCACCCACTGCAGTGCAGGTGTCCTCAACTTCTGCATCCAGGACACTGTCCCCTTTCCCAGCTCAAGGCAGGGCACCAGGGTTATTCCCCAGGATGATGCTAGGACATCAGGGTTCAACCCAGCTTCCCACAGGAGCTGCAGGACACAGGGGACCTCAGCAAGTCTCCAAGCTCCTGGGGCTCCCACACAGCCCTGTCCCCAAAGACCCACCTGGAAGGTGACCCGGGACTTCTCCAGCAGGTAGGTTTTGATGGTGGCCCCCGTGACATAGGCCTGGCTGAAGCCAATCTCTATGTACTTCCCAAAGCGGCTGCTGTTGTCATTCCTGGTGGTCTTCGCATTCCCAAAGGCCTGGTGGGGAGGAAGGTGGGTCAAGTTAACCCCGTGAGCTCTCTGCAGAGAGGTGTAACCCCCAGCACTTGTTTTGCAGTTGTAGTATCACCCACCAAGCCTGCAGCAAAACCAGAACCACCCAGGTCCTCCGCCTCTCCCACGGATCAGCCCAGCAGTGCTGGGAGCCTGGATAAGGCCATAGGGTAACCAGGGACAAAGACCCTGTCCTCAGCGTGGGACAAGAGCTCCCTCAGCTCACGCCAGAGCTGTCACAGCACAAGGGCATGGACATCTAAGGAACAAGATATCCGTGCAGCTCAAGGGAGCAGAGGCCTAAGATCTATTTGAGCCTTTCCAAACCCAAAAAGGCAGGAGGGATCAGCCAGGGCTATGAGGAGCTCAGCAATGCAGGGGCTGCCCCTTGTCCCCATGCAGAGGCAGCCTTGGGCACAGGGGCAGCAGACCCACCTCCATGATGGGGCTGGAGGCCAGCACCTTCTCCTCCATGCTGCAGTCGCCCAGGCTGCCGCCCACCGCGGTGAAGTAGCGCATGGCAAACTTGGCCGACGCCGTCTTGCCTGCGCCTGACTCGCCGCTGATGATGAGGGACTGGTTCCTCCCATAGCTGCGGGAGGAAGGTGCCACGCTGGGACGGCCCCGCAGGAAAGGCTCACGGGGAGACACCGTGGTCCAGAGCACATTGCGGCCTCCAAACACTTCTATGCTCCCAAGTTGGGTTCATCACCCTGGGCAGTGGCAGCTCTCCCTCCATGCCAGGGGGGACAGTGCGGGGGACACCGGGGAGGGTCTCTCACCGTGTCATCTGCTTGTACGCTTCCTCGGCCAAGGCAAAGATGTGGGGGTCCATGTCCCCGACCTCACGGCCACTGTAGGCGTAGATCACCTCCTCCTCATAGATGGGCAGTGGCTTGTATGGGTTGATGGCAACAAGGATGATGCCTGGGGGCAGAGGGATGTGCCAACCCGCTGCCACGCTGGGGCAGCACGGTGCGTGACAGCAGTCCCCGGGGGGCCTGTGGGACTCACCGCAGTAGGTGTAGATGGCGTTGGCCTCCAGGAAGCGCATGCGGAGCGAGTGCAGCACAGCCGGCTCGTGCAGGTAGCTGAGGGCCACCAGGTCATCCTCGCCAGAGAGGCAGTCGGGGTTGCAGAGAGGCGGCAGCTGGGACCCCACGGGGTAGACCAGCTCCTGCAGGGATGCACGGAGGGGAATCAGCACCAAACCGGGCAGCACCAGCCCCACGGGCAGCTCTGCGGGTCACAGGTGCTGCCAGCCCAGGGGACATGCAGCTCCAGCCCTACCGAGGCATCATCCAGGCGGAGATGGAGAACATTGTCTCCTTCCCTGTAGCCCCTGGTTACTTCTGCCACCCTCCAGACCTCAGTGCAGTGGGGGATCCACACACGGGCACCCTGCAGGGACACAGCAAGGAGAGGAGCCCTGCAGAGCCCTTGGCCAGGCAGGGACAGTGACCACCAGGCCACAGTGCAACCTGTGTCTGGGGGGCTGCTCTGTGCACAGCATCACTCCAGTGCCCCCATTTGCGCCCCAGCAGGTAGAGCAATCCCAGGGGCTTCTCCCTGGGACTGGAAGGTTTCTGTAAGAAACAGCTCCCTAGAGCCACCACCTCTACCTTCCCAAGTCAGGGAAGATGCTCCTGTGTCGACCAGGACACAACCCCAGCGGCAAACAGGGCAGCGACTCCCATCCACACGGCACGTGGGTGGGTTAGAGCCCCCCAGCACCGCAGGATGAAGAGGGTCTATAAAAAGGTGCCTCCCCACCACCCATCACGCAGTAGCGGCCCCGGTCCAGCCCCGCCATCTGCCACAGGCACTTCCCGCAGTGCCAGCCGCTGCCTCCCCTGCGAGGGGAGCCAGGGCATCCTCTGCACCCCATCCAAGGCTCCTCTGCACGCACTCCGGCACCCCGGCTGTTTTCCAAGTGGGACACATCCCCCTTTACTTTTATCCTGACGCTTGCATGGCTGGTCACAGGGACTTTGTGCAAGGCACCCACCAGCATCTCCTCCTGCTGCGGGTGCCAGGCTGAGGTGCCCCCTGCACACACACCAGGTGCAAATGAAGACAGAAAACAAATGAAGACACCAGCTCTGCTCTGGACCCCTTGATTCCAGGACTAAGACATGGGAAAAGCCTTTCCCTGCACAGATAGGGCTGCTCAGCACTGGTGCAACAACCACGCAACTGCACCAGCCCCTTCCACAAGATGCAAAACCCAGGTGAGAAGAATCAGGCTGCAGATGTCCCCATGGAGGTAGGGTCAAAGCCTTGGCACAGGTGACACCAGCTGGTCCCACATCCCCTCGCTCAAGTCATCAGAGCTCCCTCAAAAAGAAAACCCTCAAACCCCTCCTCCTAGAGGAGGCAGCTTCACTTCCAGGCAGCATTAGGGGGAAACCTGTATCCATTTCCACCAGCTCCAGGAACTTTTGCAGAGCAGCAAAGGGGCCCAAACCTCCCCTGCTCCCACCCCAGCTGGCACCACCGGCCTCTCACTAGAAACAGGGGCTAGAGAAAAAAACAAACAAACAAACAAAAAAGCATTCCTGTTCTGCTGATTTTGCAAACCCAGGCGCCTTGACTGCCAGCAAAGGCTCCCGGGCCGCAGCGTGCAAGGCACATGTGCTAATGCATCACTGAAGTTGATTAAACAAGCCCTGAACAGTCTGAGTCTAGCAGGGAAGGAAGGGGCCGCGCATGGGGCTTGCAGCCAAGAAGTCATTAGGAAACCCAGCGTTGGACTCCAGACTTTTTTTTTTTTTTTTTTTAAAAGAAAAAAGGAGCAGGATCAGGTTGCAGGGACTCAACCAGGGCAGCAGGAAACCAACATCGTTTGAGTAGCAGCCCCTGGGAGGAGCAAAAATTGCCCAATCTGCAACAACGCTTGAAGGCACCAGCCCAAAAGCAACACCAGGAGAAGGAGCATCCCCAGTGATCGCCTCACCCCGGGCTCTCTGCTCCAGCCACTGCCTCTTTCCAAGGAAGCCAGGAGCTACCAGGCATTAAGGAAACCCCCAGCCCAAAAGCACAACCTGGGAAAACTCCAGGCAGCCGCTGCAGGGCTCCTTGCAGGAGTTTCAAGTGCCACCAAGGCAGGCAGGGTGTTTTGCAAGGAGGGCCACCCCCGGCCTGCCTGGCCCCATGCACGGGGCTGCCGGGGGCTTTGGGGACCCCCGCGGAGGGACGGTGCCCCCCAGGAGCCGGGGTGCCCACAGCACCCACGGGAGCTGCCCAGCTGGGTGTCACACCACGCACAGCGCCCACGAGCCGAGCGGGGCAGAACGACCCCCGGGGCAGAGCCTCAGCTGGTA